GTTAAAGCGCAGCACTGAGAAGCTAAAGCCACTTCCGCATGAGTTCGATTCCTGCCTGCCCTGGAGGTGACCACATGGCGCGGCAGACCTCTCCTGGCCCGCCCGCTGCTCCCCTCAGCAGTGTACTTCGTTGATCTGCCTGTTCTGCTCCCCACTCTGTTTCTGGTAAAACCTCTCACCTCCCCTGAGCCTCTGGCCTGTACCCCACTCTGTATGCACAAATAAATAAATCTTAAAAAAAAAAAGAATACACTGTGAGTAAGTAGGGTAATCCTGGTTAATGAAAATTATTTTAACTTTGGAAAACCACCATTTGTTTATCCAAATGGACACTTGGTTTGGTTTGGTTTTTACCTAGATTTTGGCTGCTATAAGTAAAACTACTGTGTAGAGGACAATACTGTTCACAGGAATCTCTCTAATCAAGAAAGAAGAAACTAAAGATTACATGCTAACTTTAAGGTATTATTATCTTCAACAAATAAGAACAAATTCTTTTGCAAAATGATTGTGTCAATTTACATTGCCACTAGGAGTAGGAGTATAATTTCTCCACATATCACTAAACCAGATACTATCATAATCTTTAATATTTGCCAATCCAATGGAAGTGCAAAAGTTTCTTCTTATGGTTTTAGTTTGCAATATTCTGATTACCAGTGAAATCATGATTCTCCACTTTTCCATCTGAGGGTTACTATGAATCATGGTATTATGTGACTTGCAAATGGCATTCTTACTGTAAAAAATAAATAAGAAAATATCAGAGTACATTGCATGAAAGTTAAATAAATGTTATTTCATGAAACTTTTATTCCCATAGTATATGTTTGTCTTGAGCCACAAAGTAAAATATTTTTGTAACTGTGAGCTTCTACCAAGTTAAGTCATTACTATTGCTATTTAATTACCAACCCCCCCCCCCCAAAAAAAAACCAAAAAACGTTAAGAGACATTTGGACAAGTAATTGGTGAATCATTTAGGCCCACAACACTTAGGAATGTATCTTATAAAAAAAAAGCAAAAGATGTCTTTCAAGCACTGAAAGTGAGGAAAAGAATTAGTAGAAGAGGAAAAAAATCTAAAGGAAACAATAAAACCTATTGTCCTTTAAAAGCAACTGGTCTTGGGCCCTCCCTGGTGGCGCAGCGGGTTAAAGCACAGCACTGAGAATCTAAAGCCGCTTCCGCATGAGTTCGATTCCCGCCTGCCCCGGAGGTGACCACATGGCGTGGCAGACCTCTCCTGACCCGCCCGCTGCTCCCCTCAGCAGTGTACTTCGTCGATCTGCCTGTTCTGCTCCCAACTCTGTCTCTGGTGAATCCTCTCACTGCCCCTGAGCCTCTGGCCTGTGCCCCAGTTCTGTATGCACAAATAAATAAATCTTAAAAAAAAAAAATTATATAAAAAAAAAGCAACTGGTCTTATGTATGACCTACTTAAAGCTCACTTTAAAATAATTGCCCATTTTTCAGCAAGTATGGTTTCTTTCAGCTGTGAAGGATAACCTGAATCCTGTCCTCATAACTACTAAACTGAAAGAAAACTGCCCCTTCCTTCTTTATAGATGTAACTCTACTTCTTCAATAATTGTCTAATTCTGGGGCCTCTACATTCTACATTTTTTCCCTCTAGATGGAAACAATAGAAAGAATCATCTAAATTCTAATTAGTCCCCCTTTTTTGGTTCACAAAGATTTACCAACCCCCTACTACATCACCTCTCTATCAGGAAACTATGCTGTATATCTCTAACAATTTTAACTTCTGATTACAGTCTTTAAAACTTGATACCGCTAAAACTGAAAACATTTTTTTCTCCTTAAAAAGTTAAGCCATCCTACATATCCTGACCAAGCTTCTGTAACCTTTGTTCCATCAATGTCTCAACTCTGCCACTTTGCAATAACTTTCTTTTTCATACGAATTCCCTCCTCACAAGTTGTCAGACCAATACCACCACAACTGGTACAGTGTCTGAATCTACCTGTCACATAAAATGTGATCTTAAGTACTTAAATTCCTTAACTTCTGAGGTGAATCTCATTTCTAAAATGGGTAAAACAACAGGTATCAAGGAATGATGAGAATTACATAATCTTCTATTTCTTTCCTTTTTACTTATTTTTTTGTTTTGGTTTTTACTCTCTGTAAACACAATAAAATGCTTGAATAAAGGGAGGTACCTAAACGGAGGTACCTGGAAATATGAGAAAGGGAAAATGTGAAGACAAAATAAGTACGAGTAAACTTATCAAGTGGGGCTATTGCTGTGCCTATAAGCTTTTCTATGTCAAAATTCTGAATACACAAACACAGGGACTTCTTTGCCCAAAAAGCAGCAAAATTCTAATCCCAAATGACTTTATATAATCTCTTCCTCCTTAAATTTCGGAGCGACCTCCTGAGATTGTTATATATGGCAAAATAGATTCTGCCCGTGTAATTAAGATCCCTAATCAGTTGAGTGCACCCAAAAGGAGACAATCCTGGATGGGCCTGACCTAATCAGTTAAGCTTTTTTAAAGGTTCCTAAAGTCTAGAGGTCAGAGACAGAGGAAGTAGAGACATCCTGTTCACTTGGATGAAACCAGAACCCCATGCTGTGAACTGCCCTAGTGGACAAGTGGCAAGGAACTGATAATGGTTCCTGTTCAACAGCCAAGACAAGGAGTTCAGTGACAGAGTCACATGGAAGTCAATTCTGCCAACAGTAGTTAGCTTGGAAAAGGACCCTGAGCCTCAGATAACAATTGTACAGCTGACATCTTGATTTCAGCTTAACAGAGAACCCAGCTTTCTGATCTCCGGAAATTGTGAGATAATAAGCGGATGTTGTTTAAACTGCTAAATTTGTGGTGCTTTGCTATATATCAAAAGAAAACTAAAACACAATACAAAACAAAGCAGAAAAGGGGGGAAAGGCGGGAAGCAAGTGGAGATATGTATCTTTACCCCAGAGTGCATTTTATCTCTTCATAGCATTGACTATTAAGAATCAATGGAAAAAAATATTAAAACTGTATAAGGTTTTAAACTTTTAACAATTACAAGGGACTTTTTCACACCCACCTTGTTAAATAAACATACAATTATTTTCATTTTAATGAAAAAGAAGACTCAAAGAGTGACATCCCAAGGATGACAAATTTACCAAAAGTTTAAAATAATTTCAGCCCAGTACTCCCTTCCCTACTCTAAAGGCCCCTTACATGCTTTTCAAAGAGCCATTCAAATCAGCAGTTAAATGTATTACTCTCTTCAAAGAAAGCAATGCTAGTAATGTAACAATTTTTTATATTTTACACCTATTTAAGTACCCCTTTGCCTCATCAGAATATCAGTGCTAAAGAGGACAATAAGAAATTCCCACTTAAAGTAATTTGGTTGTAGAAAGATGCATTGGTGGGTCACTTAAATAAACTTTTGAGTACACCTTGAAAATGCAAAGAAATTTTAACAAAACACCTGTAGGTTTTTTAGGACCTATTTAAATGGCAAACTTGTTTGAAATGTTCTCCAAAAATCAAAGCAAGTAAACAACCTTCCCATACCTTTCAATATTTGCCCCCTGGAGCAAATTTTTTTAGTCTGAATTTTTTGTACCTTATGAAAGAGAACATGGTACACTCGATCATAAAATAAGTCCTTTCTATTTTAACATTGTGTGTATTTCCTTAAGTGCTTCATCATCTGAATTTGTAATTCTTTTAAAACAGGAGAAAATGAAATGGTGGAGTCATTCAAAATCTGCGTGTTACAAATCGCTTAACTTTATGCCAATTAAAATACTTTCAGACATGAAATGTATTTGTGAAAAGATGTAAAATACAGAATTTCTGGTCAAAAGCACTTAGAACTAAACTATATCCATCTTCTGAACACCAACTTGAACAGCAAATAAATTCACTATCGTCACATACAAATTGCATTGTTTTGAGCCTATAAGCTTTCAAAAGCAACTCCAGATTTATACGTCCGGGGCAAGATTCTCCGCAATGTAACGAGAATCGATAAAAAAGCAAACGGGTAAAAGAAGTGACGTGACAATCCTAAAACCAGAAAATTTCTTGGTCCCTTACAGTACAGAAGCAGCACCCAGTTCGGACCCTCCAATCGAGGCTCAGATTCAACTCCAGACACTCCAGTTATCCAGCTCTTCTCCCCGCCCCCCACCCCCAGAAAGGAGGGAAAACAACTTTTATTGGCCTCATCTCCCAGGGGACAGGCAAACTAGCGGGGCAGTGCTCAGGCCTGGACTCGTTTCAAGAGGAGGCCTCCGTCGGGGGCGGGCTGGGCAGATAGCGGGAAAGCAAGATTTCCACGCGCCCACTACCCTAGCCGCCGACTCCCTGCCCTAAGCCACCACACACAGGCCTGGGCCGGCCGCCACGCCAAGCGACCCCCAGGACCCTCCGCCGAGGCGAGCTCGTTGTCATGTGACGCCGCCACTAAAAACACCGCAGAAACGCGGGGCGGCGGGCGGCGGGAGGTATTTGC